GGGGCGTACACCAACGTCCAGCTTCTCATGTACGCTCCACCATGGGTTGCTACCCCACTTACGCTCCCGAGTTGGTCTATCTGCAGAAAGTTTGGTCACCAATTCCTTACTGCTTTATACTCGGCTCTCTCCAATCGAAAACAATGCATCCGCACATCTAGCTCCGCAGTTTTTGCCTGGTTGGTCAGGTCGTTCAGCTTGCTCGGCATGAGTAATAAGCTTTGCTTTGATGGCACAATGATTTACTGATCCACTTCAAGCAACGAACAGCCCCCCCCCTCCACCGTCCGATCCATTTTGGATCTCACGCCGGAGAGTTTTGGGGTGTCTTAGCTCTACGTCCTCCACCGCCCAATGGGGGACTTGAGTATTTTTTTAATGCCGTACCAATAGGCATTAACCTTAGGGAAGATTGTGCTTACTTTGGACTGTACCCTCCTCATCCTCTGCGGGAGGTAGAGGGCGGAGGGGCGCATGGCCTCTATTTTTTAGGGGGGGTTCGGGTACGGGTTGGGGATCGGGTCTATGTGTACTGCATCCTCGGATTGTCTCCTCACTATATGTGCATGTAAGATTTGGTCACTTTTCATGCCTCGGCATTTCTTTCTCTCGCCCCAGCGAGTCTTTTCTCGCGGTTCTTTCTCAGGGGCACGCAGGAGGCCCGTCGGTTCATTAACGCCCGTGTCCAGAGCTCGGCAGACCTCCGATGCGCGTGTAATTAATCGTCAACGTTGCGGAAATTGGCTCAAGACCCAGGGGACGCGTTCCGCGACGACAATGCCTCGCGAACCAATCCTAAAACCTCTCTATTGCATACCAGGAGATGTTTCCCCCCGCAAGTTTAGAGAAAATGTCTCATTATTTTGGAACCATTTCGATGGTTCCTATCGGTATAGCATCACACACTGTTTGTGTCCATGCGTACAATTATATGTAACGTGGTTCTCCACCCACAGCTTCGGGACCGCGACTCTGCTTTGAACTCTCACCTCCGGTTTGCAGTTGTATTGTGTGGAAGATACATGTTCACAGACGTAATTCATATTCTATGGTTGATTAGAACACGTCATGCCAGTCACAGATTTTTGTTACGGATTTTTTCGTCATAGGTCAAATCAATCTCCCATTTTCCCCGAATGAGTGCGGGCCATCACTGCACCAGCTGCACGCTCCCCACAGATGGATTCATTACAGCAGCAACACATTTCCGTTATTCGCACATACATACTGTGCGGTGTATGCGCCTGCATCACCAGCACTCTTCTCGGGGCTGGTCATGTATAGAGCTATGTGTCTAGTCTGTATGTGTACAGGAAAAAGTCCGATTCAGCACAAGCTCAGGCATCACTGGCGGGCCATCACTGCACTAGCTGCACGCTCCCCGCATGGATGGATGCACGACAGCAACAACACTTATTCATACATTGCGGCGCGGTGACTGCCATCATCAGTACTCCTTCTCGGGCTATTCATGTGCAGAAGAATGTGTCTGTTCATGTACAGGCGAAAGTCCGATTCAACACGAAAAAAGACAAATCTGTTCCGAAAGCAAAAATGTGCCGTGGCATGCAAATATTCGGCTGCCCGCACTCGCTCTCACGATGGCTCTCCTGCCATCTACTCCTTCTACCCTCCCCCTCTCATCACAAATCACAGCTCACAACGCCAGAGCAGCTTCCAACCTCTTTCTCTCCCGTCAATACACACCGTACATCCATGCCTCGCCAAAGCCGCCAAGCCTCCAGCGCCGGTACCAACGCATCGTCCTCCACCGCTGGATCCTCTCCGCCGGCTGTTTCTCTGGCTGCGTCTACCCCGCCGCCCGCGAGCGGATCCGGCTTATCTGCGAGTGCTGGCTCATCTGCTGCCGCCGCCGCCGCCGTCGGCTCGCCCGTGGACGTCCCGGCCGGCCGCGAGCTGTAATACCTCTTGCAACACCACCCTCTTCTTACAGGAAAATATCCGCAAAGACAAGGCCAACTTCCCCGCCTGCAGGAACTGTATCGCCGGCACCTGCGCGTGGACCGGCCTTTTGATCAAGTACCCCGGAAAGGTCTGCTGGCTCTGCGTCTCCGAGTTCGAGGTCGGCGAAGTGGACAACATCGACAACCTCCACAACCCCATCCCAGGTTCTGGAGGAAACACTTTTTACGACTTCATCTTTGCAGGAATCAATTCAGAGAACATTCGAATAGCTGGTCAACCTCAACAAACAAACCTACCAAAATGTTCCAGAGTACCTCCATCTCATGCCTGATCCAACTGCCTATGCAACCCACATCGAGATTGCAGCTGCCCAAGAGTTATGCAATACCTTAACATAAGAGTTGCCCTCGACGGCCAACCCGTTCCACCTCCTCCGTCCCATGATACATGCGATGTTTTGTACGCGGGCGGGCACTACCGAACTTGCAATTTACTCCATGACTTCACTAATTCCTTTCCTACTTGAGTCACCCCCGGGGGGCCTGACACCAACGTCTCGGACCTCGTAGCTACTAACCCTAACCCTAACCCTAAGCTATCTTCACTCAACCCGTCTATGTGTCCGGCACTCTCCAATACAAACCAACCTGTGAGATTTCAGTATGCAGCTTTCCCCACTCATGCGTCTATGTATCCGGCAATCGCAAGCATTGCTCAACCCGTGAGGTTTCAGTATGCAGATATCCTCACTCAACCCGTCTATGTGTCCGGCAGTCTCAAATATCACTCAACGTGAGGTTTCAGTATGCAGTTATCCTCACTCAACGCGTCTTCTATGTGTTTGGCAATCGAAAAAACCAATCGATCTGTGAGGTTTCAGTATGCAGTTATCCTCACTCAACACGTCTATGTGTCCGGCAATCGCAAATATCACTCAACCCGTGAGGTTTCAGTATGCAGCTATCCTCACTCAAGCGTCTGGGTGTCTGGCACTATCCAACATCACTCAACCCGTGAGGTTTCAGTGTGCGGCTATCCCCACTCAACGCGTCTCTATGTCTGTCAATCTCAAAAACCAATCCAACTGTGAGGTTTTAGTATGCGGCTATCCTCACTCAATGCGTCTATGTGTCCGGCAATCTCCAACATCAATCAACCCGCGGTGTTTCAGTATGCAGCTCTCACCACTCAACGCGTCTACGTGCCCGGCAATCGCAAAAACCAATCCATCTGTGAGGTTTCAGCATGCAGCTATCCCCACTCAACACGTCTATGTGTCCGGCAAATCTCGAATACAAATCACCTGTGAGGTTTCAGAATGCAGCTATCCTCACTCAATGCGTCTATGTGTCCGGCACTCTCCAACATCACTCAGCCCGTGGTGTTTCAGTATGCAGCTATCCCCACTCAACTCGTCTGTTTGTCCGGCAAACTCCAATAGAAACCACCTGTGGGGTTTCAGTACGCAGCTGTCCTCACTCAATGCGTCTATGTGTCCGGCACCCTCCGACATCACTCAACGCATGGGGTTTCAGTATGTAGCTATCCCTACTCAACTCGTCTATGTGCCCGGCAATCTCACGAACTAATCCATCTGTGGTGTTTCAGTATGCAGCTTTTCTCACTCAATGCGTCTGTGTGTCCGGCAATCTCCTACATCACTCAGCCCGTGGTGTTTCAGGATGCAGCTTTCCCCACTCCACGCGTCTATGTATCCAGCAATCTCGAATATAGCTAAGGCCCGTGAGATTTCAGCTAGTAAAAGCTATCCTCACTCAACTCGTCTATGTGTCCGGCAAGCTAAAAAACCAAGCCACTGTTAGGTTTCAGTATGTAGCAATCCTCACTCGTCTATGTGTCCAGAAAACTCCAATACCAATCAGCCTGTGAGGTTTCAGTATGCAGCTATCCTCACTCAACGCGTCTTCTGTGTGTCCGGCAATCTCTAACCTCACTCAACCCTTGAAGATTCGGTATAGTCTACAGCTATCCTCACTCAACACGTCTATGTGTCCGGCAATCTCGTACATTTTTCAACCCGTGAGGTTTCCGTAAACCCTCACTCCACTCGTCCATGCGAGGGGGGGGGNTCCTGTTAAGGGTTTTCGGCATCTTGTGCTTACTTCCTTGCGTACGGATGACAGCTGCGTATGACTTAATTTACTTTCTGGTGCTTTCATTCCAGAGACAGTTGTACGCACTGTGTAACTGCCTCGAGGGTGCTTGACCATTTTAACACAACGTGGTGCAATCATCCCCCTTGCGCGGAGTGAGGGTTCACCCCGCACAACATGATCTACACGACCACCATGATCGTTACCGCCAAAAAAAAACTGGAGGTAAAAACAAAAAAACGGTAACCTGGTTGCCGAGTTCACGAAGTGAATTGGCTTGTTTTACAACGTCGTTGCCAAGCGACGAAAACCCAA